TCACCGCAACCTGGCCGCCCGCAACGTCCTGCTCAAGTCCCCCAGCCAGGCCCAAGTGGCCGATTTCGGCATCGCCGACCTGCTCTACCCCGACGACAAGAAGTATTTCTACAACGAGGTCAAGGTGGGGCACCCCCCGGACCACCCCTTGGTGCTATGGGGCGCCCAACACATCCCACACGCCCTCTTTGCTGTAGAGCATCCCCTCCATACCCCCTGCATCCCCTCCTGCATCACCCATGGGTGCCCTGTCCCCTCCGTCACCCATGGGTACTCTGTCCCCTTCATCACCCAAGGGTTTCCTGTCCCCTCCATCACCCATGGGTGCCCTGTCCCCTCCATCACCCATGGGTACCCTGTCCCCTTCATCACCCAAGGGTTTCCTGTCCCCTCCATCACCCATGGGTGCCCTGTCCGCTTCATCACCCAAGGGTTTCCTGTCCCCTCCATCACCCATGGGTGCCCTGTCCCCTCCATCACCTATGGGTGCCCTGTCCCCTTCATCACCCAAGGGTTTCCTGTCCCCTCCATCACCCATGGGTGCCCTGTCCCTTCCATCACCCATGGGTGCCCTGTCCCGTCCATAGCCCCTGTGGGCCAACCCCACATCCCCGCTCTCCCCACAGACCCCCATCAAATGGATGGCTCTGGAGAGCATCCACTTTGGCAAGTACACGCACCAGAGCGACGTCTGGAGCTACGGTGAGCACCGCCCCCCCCGTACCCCAGCGTCCCCCCATAGCGCTACGGGGCTGACGGGCGCTGCCCCATAGGGGTGACGCTGTGGGAGATGATGACCTTCGGCGCGGAGCCCTACGCCGGGATCCGCCTGGCCGAGGTGCCCGATCTGCTGGAGAAGGGCGAGCGGCTCTCGCAGCCCCACATCTGCACCATCGACGTCTACATGGTCATGGTGAAGTGTGAGTGCCCCGGCCCCACAGTGGGCTCTGTCCCGGCCCCATAGCAGGGTCCCGACCCAGCTCCATAGTGGGCTCCCGTCCCCAGCCCCATAGCGAGCTCCCAGCCCCATAGTGGACTCCCATCTCCAGCCCCATAGTGAGCTCCTGCCCCCAGCCCCATAGTGGAGTCCTGACCCAGCCCCATAGCGGGGTCCCATCCCCAGCTCCATAGTGATGTCCCATCCCCAGCCCCACAGTGGGCTCCTCTCCCAACCCCACAGCGAGGTCCCGTCCTCAGCCCCACCGCGGGCTCCCGTCCCAGCCCCACAGTGGGCTCTGTCCCAGCCCCACCGCGGGCTCCCGTCCCAGCCCCACCGCGGGCTCTGTCCCGCAGGCTGGATGATCGATGAGAACATCCGCCCCACCTTCAAGGAGCTGGCGAACGAGTTCACCCGCATGGCGCGGGACCCCCCCCGCTACCTGGTGATCAAGGTGAGCCCGGACCCGCGGTACCCCCGGTACCCCCCGGCGCCCGCAGCCGCTGACCCCCCCCGGTCCCGGTGCAGGAGAGCGGGGCCGCGGAGCCGCCGGCGCTCAGCGAGAAGGAGCTGGAGGAGGCGGAGCCGCTGGGGCCGGAGGAGGACGAGAGGAGGAGGAAGAGGAAGGGGGGGAGGAGCTCGGCCCCGGCTTCGGCCTCAGCTCCGGGCTCCCCCCGCAGCGCCCGCGGGGCAGCAGCGCCCGGGTGAGCCCCCCCCCCCCCCCCCCGCCATGGGTCCCGCTGTGGGGCTGCCCCATGGCTCCGGACTCGGTGTCACAACCCCCCCTCAACAGAGCCCGAGCCTGCTCAGTCCCCCCGCCGGGTACATCCCCATGGACCAGCCCGGCCTCGGCCGCCAGGTACCGGGGGGGACCAAAAGGGGTGGCCATAGGGGGCAATGGGGCAGAATGGGGTGCTGGGAGGGGCAAAGGGGGTGGCCATAGGAGGCAATGGGGGACACAATGGGGTGCTGGGGGGGGGCAAAGGGGGTGGCCATGGGGGGCAATGGGAGGGACAATGGGGTGCTGGGGGGAGGCAAAGGGGTGGCCATGGGGGGCAATGGGGGACACAATGGGGTGCTGGGGGGGGGCAAAGGGGTGGCCATGGGGGGCAATGGGGGACACAATGGGGTGCTGGGGGGGGGCAAAGGGGGTGGCCATGAGGGGCAATGGGGGACACAATGGGGTGCTGGGGGGGGCAAAGGGGTGGCCATGGGGGGCAATGGGGGCAATGGGGGGTGAGGTGGCCATGGGAGGGCACGGGGGGGTCTGGGGGTGCCCCTGAAGCGCTGGCTCCGGGGGGGCGGGGTCCGGGCCCCGCTGCCCCCCCCCCTGACCCCGCCCCCCCTCCCGCAGCCCGGGGGGGGCCGCCCCATGCGCCGCAGCCGCGGGGGGTCCCTGGGCCGGACCCCGCCGGAGCCGGAACCGGGGGAGGGGGCGGGGGGGGGCGGGAGCCTGCAGCGGAGCCGGCACCCGCGGGGGGGCAGCGCGGACCCGGGCCAGCCCCGGAGCCCCCCCCCCGCCGGCCCCGACGAGGACAACAACGGCTACGTCAGCCCCGGGGGCGGTGAGACGGGGGGGGGGCCGGGGCTGTGGGGGTCCCATCTATGGGGGCTCCATTCCATGGGGGTCCCATCTATGGGGGTTCCTATGGGGGCTCCATTCCATGGGGGTCCCATCTATGGGGGTTCCTTCCTATGGGGGCTCCATTCCATGGGGGTCCCATCTATGGGGGTTCCTTCCTATGGGGGCTCCATTCCATGGGGGTCCCATCTATGGGGGTTCCTTCCTATGGGGGATCCATTCCATGGGGGTCCCATCTATGGGGGTTCCTTCCTATGGGGGCTCCATTCCATGGGGGTCCCATCTATGGGGGTTCCTTCCTATGGGGGTCCTGTCCTTTGTGGGTTCCCATCCCAGGTGGGTTCCATCCTATGGTGTTCCCAACCCAGTGGGGTCCCATCCTATGGGGGTCCCGTCCTGTGGGGGTCCCATCCTGTGGGGCCTCCACCCTATAGGGGTCCCAACCCATGGGGGTCCTGTCCTATGGGGGTCCCAACCCAATGGGGTCCCATCCATAGGGGTCCCATAAGGGCTGCAGGGAGTCCCCCCGTTATTGCGGGCACTGTGTGTGTGGGGGGGGTCACCTTTAAGGGATGAGGATGTTTTACCCCCCCCGCCCCCTTGTCCCCGCTCAGATCCGGACCCCCCGGTACCGGCACCGGACGAGGAGTACGAGTACATGAACCGGCGGCCGCGGGCGGTGTCCCTGGAGGAGCTGGGTTACGAGTACATGGAGGTGGGTGCGGAGCCGGCCCCGCTGCGGGGGCAGGATGAGGATGAGGACGGGGATGAGGAGGAGGAAGATTACGAGTACATGAACAAGCAGCCGCGGCTCAGCCGCTCCCTGCGCACCGCGGGGTACACGGACATGCGGCCGGGAGCGGGGCAGGGCCCGGCGGCTCCGGTACCGGCTCCGGACGAGCAGGGCTACGAGGAGATGGAGGCGGTGCTGGCCCCGCGCTGCCCCGGCTGCCGCTGCCCCCCCGCGCCCTCTCGCAAAGCGCTGCGGAGCCTCGAGGCCTCGGACTGCGCCTTCGATAACCCCGATTACTGGCACAGCCGCCTCTTCGCCAAGGCGGACCCGCAGCGGACGTAGGGACCGGACCCCGCATCCCGGCCCCCCCCCCCCCCCCCCCGGGACTGTTTACATTGGATATGAAGGATCCCCGGCTGCGGGATGCTCCCGATCCCGGCCGTGATTCCTGGGTACCGGCATCCCGATGCCCTGACCCACTGCAATGGGGGGTTTGGGGGCGGACCTCCCCCGGCTGCCCTGACCCACTGCAATGGGGGGTTTGGGGGCGGGGCGGGCCCCCCCGGGCTGCCCTGACCCACTGCAATGGGGGGTTTGGGGGCGGACCTCCCCGGGCTGCCCTGACCCACTGCAATGGGGGGTTTGGGGGCGGACCTCCCCCGGCTGCCCTGACCCACTGCAATGGGGGGGAGTTGGGGGCGGAACCCCCGGGCTGCCCTGACCCACTGCAATGGGGGTTTGGGGACGGAACCCCCGGGCTGCCCTGACCCACTGCAATGGGGGGGAGTTGGGGGCGGACCCCACTGGGGCTGCCCTGACCCACTGCAATGGGGGGGAGTTGGGGGCGGACCTCCCCGGGCTGCCCTGACCCACTGCAATGGGGGGGTTCGGGGGCGGAACCCCCGGGCTGCCCTGACCCACTGCAATGGGGGGTTCGGGGGCGGAACCCCCCGGACTGCCCTGACCCACTGCAATGGGGGGGAGTTGGGGGCGGACCCCACTGGGGCTGCCCTGACCCACTGCAATGGGGGTTTGGGTCCGGACCCCACTGGGGCTGCCCTGACCCACTGCAATGGGGGGGGAGTTGGGGGCGGACCCCACTGGGGCTGCCCTGACCCACTGCAATGGGGGGGAGTTTGGGTCCGGAACCCCCGGGGCCTCCCTGATCCACTGCAATGGGGTGGGAGTGGTTTGGGTCCGGACCCCCAGGAGCCCCCCCCCCGCAACCGAAGGTCCGGACCCCGGATTCATCCTCAGGTTCCTCCATTCCCTGTTGGAAGCAGAGGGAAGGTTTGGGGGTGCCCCCCCCCCCCCGCCCCATGGGATGCGCCCCCGGCGATCCCGTTTTGGGGTTGTTTTAATGGGGGGTGGGGGGAGGAACCGGGGGACACCTCCCCCTCCCCCCCCGCGATGGTTCTGTTTGTAAATGGTGAATAAAGACAAAAGGAATTGACCCCAAAGTGGCGCTGATGCTTTGGGGGGGGGGTAACGGGACCGCGGAGGCGCTCTTGAACTACATTACCCAGCATCCCCCGCGCTGGATCTCGCGAGAGCCGGCAATGCCCGGTGGGAGCCGTAGTCCCGGCGGCCGTGCCGCGGGGGCTGCCGGGAGTTGTAGTTCCCGCCGGGGGGAGGGCGGGGACTCGCGTTCCCAGCGTGCCCCGCGCGGAGCCCGCGCTCCTGCCCTGCCCGCGCGCTCCTCGCGCTCCCGGGGTCTCCTCAGCGGCGGCTCCGCTCCCGGCACCGGGGGGCACCGGGGAGGGAGGGAGGGAGGGAGGGAGGGGGGGGACGGACGGAGGGAGGCGGCCGCGGCCCCGGCCATGTCGGGCGAGGAGGAGGCGGCCGAGCTGACGATCGCCGAGGACCTGGTGGTGACCAAGTACAAGATGGGGGGGGACATCGCCAACCGTGAGTGCGGGACCGGGCCTAGGCCGCACCGGGACCGGGCCTTGTGGGGGGGGGGCACCGGGAAGCGGGGGCACGCGAGGAGGAGCGGGGCGGGCCTGGGCCGGGAGGCGAGGCCCGGCCCCCCCCTTCCCCGTCCTCCGTTAACCGGGAAGGGCTCGGTTGTACCGGAGACCCCTGGGACGGAGGTGGGGGGGGGGCTGAGGGGGGGCCCCGGTACCCGCAGGCCCCGCTCGGCCGCCGCTGCCCGCACGTGGCCTCCGCGCCCCACGTGCACCGGCGGCGGGAGGAGGAGCCCGGGGCGGGGGGGCCGGGGCTTTGTTCCGGGCTTGAAACACCCCCCCCCCATAGACCCCAATGGGGGGGGGGGGGCCACACGTGGGGCAGCCCCATAGAGCCCTATAGCCCCCATAGGCGTTGGTGGAGCCCCATGGGGCCCGTTCCGCCCCCCCCGCGGGGTGACAGCCGCCGGGACCGGTTGGGTGAGCTCCTCCCGGCGTGTCCCGCATGGATTCCTGCTGACTTGGCCGCTCCAGGCGCGCTTCCCAATGGGAACGGCTCCGGAGCAGCGCGTTCCCCCCTTCGGGAAGGGCTGAACCGGTTTGGAATGGGGAGGTGGGGGGGGGGGGGTGCTCGGGAAGGGAAACGTGGAATTGCGGTGGCTTTGGAATGCTTTGAGTCCCTATGGAGCGAGGCGCTGCCGGGTGTGAAGGGCTTGGAATGCCCCATGGAAGCGCCCGGTGCCGGCTGCTCCCTCCCAGCATTCCCAGATCCTCCCCATTGAAGGCATCTGAGATCCCGTCCATCCCAGGCTCCAGGTGGGAACTCCTGGCGCTGGATCCAACAGAGGCCGATGGGGAAGCGCCCTGGTGGAGCCGGGATTCCGGGATTTGGGAATGTTCTGGGAGCTGCAGAGAGGAGGAAGAGGAGAAGCGGCGGCTTTGGAAGCCTCCCGCCCCGCTCCCTTTGCTGTGCTGCATCCCAGCGCCGTGCCCGAACCCCGTCCTGCTGCAGCGCTGGCTTCTCCCATCGGGAATGCCGCCGCGCTTCGCTCGACGGCCCCAGCGCAGTCCAATGGGAATGGCGGCGGGATTCCGGAGGGCCCCCATTCCCAGTGGGAAGCCCGATCCCTGCTCCAGCCCCTCCGTCTCTCTTTGGCTCCAGGGGTCCTGCGGGCGGTGCTGGATGCGGCCAACGCGGGCGCCTCGGTGCTGGGCCTGTGCGAGAAGGGAGATTCCATGATCATGGAAGAGACTGGCAAGATCTTCAAGAAGGAAAAGGAGATGAAGAAAGGTGAGGCTTTCCCAACGGGACTTTGGCTTTCCCAACGGGACTTTGGCTTTCCCAACGGGACTTTGGCTTTCCCAACGGGACTTTGGCTTTCCCAACGGGACTTTGGCTTTCCCAACGGGACTTTGGCTTTTCCAATGGGACTTTGGCTTTCCCAACGGGACTTTGGCTTTCCCAACGGGACTTTGACTTTCCCAATGGGACTTTGGCTTTCCCAACGGGACTTTGGCTTTTCCAATGGGACTTTGGCTTTCCCAACGGGACTTTGGCTTTCCCAACGGGACTTTGGCTTTTCCAATGGGACTTTGGCTTTCCCAACGGGACTTTGGCTTTTCCAACGGGACTTTGGCTTTCCCAACGGGACTTTGGCTTTCCCAACGGGAATTATTTGGCTTTCCCAACGGAACTTTGGCTTTCCCAACGGGAATTTGGCTTTTCCAATGGGACTTTGGCTTTCTCAATGGGAATTTGGCTTTCCCAACGGGACTTTGGCTTTTCCAATAGGAATTTGGCTTTTCCAATAGGACTTTGGCTTTCCCAACGGGAATTTGGCTTTTCCAATGGGACTTTGGCTTTCTCAATGGGAATTTGGCTTTCCCAACGGGACTTTGGCTTTTCCAATAGGAATTTGGCTTTTCCAATAGGACTTTGGCTTTCCCAACAGGACTTTGGCTTTCCCAACGGGAATTATTTGGCTTTCCCAACGGGAATTATTTGGCTTTCCCAATGGGAATTATTTGGCTTTCCCAATGGGAATTTGCCTTTTCCAACGGGAATTTCAGGCTTGTTCCCTTCCGTCGGTGATGGCTGCTGTTGGGATGGGTTGAGAGCAGCAAAAGGGCTCACTGGGCTCCCCCAGTTGCTGTTCCCAACCCCAGTCAAGAGAAGGGAATGCCTTGGGAATGAGCAGCTTTGGATGCCGCATCCCTGGCAGTGCCAAGGCCAGCTTGGAGCTGAGCTGCTCCACTGGAAGCTCTCCCTGCCCACGGCAAGGGCTTGGAGCTGGGGCCCTTCCATGCGGCAGGAATTGATGGGAGCCCCCTTCCCGCCCGCAGGCATCGCCTTCCCCACCAGCGTCTCGGTCAATAACTGCGTCTGCCACTTCTCCCCCCTGAAGAGCGACCAGGATTACATCCTCAAGGACGGCGACCTGGTCAAAGTGTGAGTGCAGCTCCGGGCTTCCGGACGCGATTCCCGCTGGGAGTCGTCCCGGAGCTTCCTGACCCCCCCCGTTGGTGTTGCAGGGACCTGGGGGTGCACGTGGACGGCTTCATCGCCAACGTGGCGCACAGCTTCGTCATCGAGGCCTCCAAGGTGGGCAGGGGGGGCTGCTCCCATCCCTGCCTGCGGCATTCCCAGCCCGCACCCTTCCTGCCGCCGCTTCCTCTGCTCCCGTCCTTTGGGAGCAGCATCCCAGCTCCCAATCCCAATGGGAGCCGAGTCCCCCCGCCTTGGTCCTTGCGTTGAGGGATTCCAGCGTGCCGAATGCAGAAGGGAAGGCTCCTGAATCCCGCTCCCGTTCCCTATCCTGCAGGAAAAGCCCGTGTCCGGCCGGAAAGCCGATGTCATCAAAGCAGCCCATCTGTGCGCCGAGGCCGCGCTGCGCTTGGTGAAGCCTGGAAACCAGGTGAGCGCTGCCTCGGGAGCAGGGATGGAGCCCTGGGATGGGTTGGGAAGCAGCTTGGGGTCACGCCGTTCCGTGGGCAGGGATACCCTCCATAGGGTGTGAGTGGTACCCGGCACAGCCGGGGATGGAGCATCCCAACCGCCTCCCTTCATCCCATCCCATCCCATCCCAATGGCTTTTCCTGTGTCTTCTCTGCAGAACACACAAGTGACGGAGGCTTGGAACAAAATAGCCCACTCGTTTCACTGCACCCCCATCGAAGGTGAGATCCCATTCCCACCGGGAAGCACGTGGAGGCTGGGGGAGTCTCCCGTTGGGAATAGGACCAGCTCCTGGTCCAGGGGCTTCTTGCAGCCACAATGGCTCCATTCTGTGGGAGATTCCTTCCAATCCCATAAAATCCCCTCTTGGAACACCGGAGCATTCCAGTGGGTGGGATGGCTTTGGGGGGTGTGTGTGTGTGTCAGTGTTTCCTGCTTCTTGTGCTCTGGAGGAGATGGGGAGGCATCCGCGGACCCAAACCCTCCCTGGGCAATGGGTTCCCCTCCAATCCCATCGCATCCCGTTGGCATTCCCGGTGTGGGGCCTGTTCCTTACGGAAGCGGCTCCTGACGGGCGCTGCGGCCTCCTCTCGTGCCAGGGATGCTGTCCCACCAGCTGAAGCAGCACGTCATCGACGGCGAGAAAACCATCATCCAGAACCCCACAGACCAGCAAAAGTGAGCATCACGCAGGGAAAAAGGGGATGCACCTTGGATCCGGGGCTCTGGAATGCTCCTTCCTATCCCAGGAACCTCCTTCCTGCCCCTTGGAACGCTCCTGGTTCCTCTCCAGCTTCCTGGAAGCTGCCGGCCCCAAGGGATGCTCAGAGCCGGAGCCCTGGCACTGAACCCGTTGCGTGGGTCCGGGTGCCATCCATGGTGTTCCACAGCTCTGATCCCATGGGATGAGGGTGCACCGGAAGCTTTCCCTGCCGCGCTTGGGCAGGAGCAGCATTGGGCTCCTGTTCACCAGCAGCTTCTGGTCACTCAGCACCGTGGCAGGATGGGGGCACCGAGCCCTTTGTGCGCCTCTTTAACCAGGGATGGGTTGGGTTGGATCCGCTTCCAGCCATGGGATCCATGGACAGGGACGCTTCCCAACAGCCCAGGCTGCTCCAAGGCCGTTGGGTGATGCCCTGTGGCTGTGGAGGGGATTTTGGGGTGTTTTCCCCATCCTTTGGGTGTTTTCCCCCTCCCGTCCCTCCCATCCTGGTGTTTTCCATGCAGGAAGGACCACGAAAAGGCAGAATTTGAGGTCCATGAGGTTTATGCCGTCGACGTCCTCGTCAGCAGCGGGGAGGGGAAGGTGAGCGCGGCGCCGGGCGCCCCATCCCTGCCGTTCCCGCCGGGAATGCCGCGGCAATTCCCGGCCTGGGGAAGCATCAGCTGGGCCGTGTGCGCAGGCCAAGGACGCGGGGCAGAGGACGACCATCTACAAACGGGACCCAGCCAAGCAGTACGGCCTCAAGATGAAAACCTCCCGTGCCTTCTTCAGCGAGGTGGAGCGGCGCTTCGACACCATGCCCTTCACCCTCAGGTGCCTGCTGCTTCCCAAGGGGATTCCCAGGGAATTCCCGGTCCCTTCCTGCTCCCTCCTTGGTCCTTCCTTGGTCCCTTCCTGGTGCTTCCTGATCCCTCCCTGATCCCTTCCTGCTGCTTTCTTGGTCCCTCCTTGGTCCCTTCCTGGTGGTTCCTGATCCCTCCTTGGTCCCTTCCTGTTCCTTTCCTGGTGCCTCCCTGATCGCTTCCTGCTCCCTTCCTGATCCCTTCCTGGTCCTTCCCTGGTGCTTCCTGGTCCCAGCCTCATCCCTTCCTGGTCCTTCCTTGGTGCTTCCTGGTCCCTTCCTGGTCCTTCCTTGGTGCTTCCTGGTCCCTCCCTGGTCCTTTCCTGCTCCCTCCCTGATCCCTTCCTGGTCCCTTCCTGGGAACTGGGAATCGGTTCCCAGTGGAGCAGAGGGAGGGATGAGGCAATTCCAGGCCATGTTCTAAGGGACGGCCTCAACCACGCTCTCAATGGGCTCTGTTCCACCTTAAACCCCCTCTCTGGAGGCTTCCCTCTGAGGGAATGGGGGTCTCTGGGCTGGAATCCCGGGATGTGGCTTGGGAAGGGGCTGAGCTCCCTCTGCTTCCCAGGGCCTTTGAGGATGAGAAGAAAGCCAGGATGGGAGTGGTGGAATGCGCCAAGCACGAGCTGCTCCAGCCCTTCAACGTCCTCTATGAGAAGGAAGGTGAGCGCCGGCCGAGCCACATTCCAGCCCTCGGGATTCATCCTCATGGATCACTGCAGTGCTGACGCTGTGGTGGCGGAGCAGCGCCCTGGGGGGGGGCTCCTTGCTTCCAACGCGATGGGCTCGGTGTTGGGAATGTGGCTGCCGTCCCCATCCCAATCCCGCTCTCCCAGGGGAGTTTGTGGCGCAGTTCAAGTTCACGGTGCTCCTGATGCCCAACGGCCCCATGCGGATAACGGGAGGCCCCTTCGAGCCCGACCTCTACAGATCCACCTTCGAGGTGCAGGATGCGGAGCTCAAGGTGGGTGCCGAGTTCCCGGGAACGGAGCCATGGAATGGGGCTGGGAAGGAGCTTGGAGGCAGCCCCAGTCCCATAGGGATGCTGCCAGGGATGGAGCAGCCAAACCGGCTCCGTTCAGCCCAGCCCCGTGTCCCAGCGCCCTCCCGGATCCCACCTGGGCTCCCCCTGTTGCAGTTGGAATCCACCCCCCCTTGTCCTCTCCCTGCTCTCCAGCATCCCTGGAGCCCCCTTCGGACGCCGGGAGCGTTCCAGGCTGAACGTTCCCAATGGCTCCATAAGGAGCTGCTCCAGCCCCTGCTCATCCTCTTGCCCCTCCGGACTCACTCCAGAGGCTCCCCTGCTTCCAGCCGGGAATGGCAAAGGAAAAGCTTTCCCTTCCCGGCTCCTTTCATTCCCTTCCTTGTCTCCAGGCCCTTCTCCAGAGCTCCGCCAGCCGCAAGACCCAGAAGAAGAAGAAGAAGAAGGTAACGGGCGCGTGGGGCAGGATTCCCGCTTCCTGGAAGCGTGGAAGGGGGTGGGAAGGAGCTCCCAGCTCCGGCCATGGGCAGGGGCAGCTCCCGTTAGCCCGGGCTGCTCCAAGCCCTGTGGGTTCCCCATCCCTGTCCTGGGAAGGGCTTCCCATCTCTGTCCTTGTGGGAAGGGATTCCCCATCCCTATTATGGGAGTTCCCATCCTTACCATTATGGGGAGGGTTCCCCATCCCTCCCCTTATAGGAAGGGCTCCCTGTCCTTATCCTTATGGGATTCCCTATCCTTATGGGAGGGGATTCCCCCATCCTTACCCTTATGGGAAGCGTTCCCCATTCCTATCCTTACGGGAAGGGCTCCCCATCTCTATCCTTGTGGGAGTTCCCATCCTTACCATTATGGGAAGGGTTTCCCATCCCTATCCTTATGGGAGGGGATTCCCCATCCTTAGGGGAAGTGCTCCCCATCCCTATGGGAAGGGATTCCCCATCCTCCCCCTTATGGAAGGGGCTCCCCATCCCTACGGGAAGGGATTCCCCATCCTCCCCCTTATGGAAGGGGCTCCCCATCCCGATGGGAAGGGATTCCCCATCCTCACCCTTATGGAAGGGGCTCCCCATCCCTATGGGAAGGGATTCCCCATCCTCCCCCTTATGGAAGGGGCTCCCCATCCCTATGGGAAGGGATTCCCCATCCCTGTGGGAAGCGCTCCCCATCCGCGCCCTTCTCCCCGCAGGCCTCCAGGAACGCCGAGAACGCCACCACGGGCGAGGGAGCGGAGGAGCCGGAGCCGGGCGATTGAGCAGCTCCTGCCCCCCGGCGCCCCCCGGCCCCCCCGGCCCTGTTTGTCCCTTAGGAACCAAGGCACAAGCAGGGGGTGGGGGGGGGATCCCGGTGCTTCCCAGGGCAGGGATGCTCCGAGCCCGGCAAGCGTAATAAAAGCCCCTCTGCAGCCGCTCTGTGTCCCCTCATCCCATGGGATCTGCCCCATCCCGAAGGGAGGAATGGGGCGGGGGGGGGGGGGGTGCCCTTATCCCGCTCCAGACTTTGGGATCCAAGCCTTTGGAAGCCTCGGTTTTCCCCTATAAACACTGGTTTTGTACTCGGCTGTGGCGGGCTCCTTTGTAAGCACCGGCAAAGGGTTCCCGGCGGGATTTCCGTGCTTCCCATGGGAACGGGGGGGGTGGGGAGGAATTGCTCTTTTATAGCGTTTTTTTACAGAAAAACCTGGAAAAAAGAGAAAAAAAACCAGGGACAAAGCTGAATTCCGGCTCTGGTTATCCCGGTCTATTGGGGGGGGGGGGGGGGGGGCACACAGCATTCCCGGGCTCCGTGCGTCCGCTCCTCATCGCTGCGGATTCCATCCCAAATTCCAGACGTGCAAATCTGAACCAAAGTCAATAAAAGAGAATGAACGAGGCGCTTGGTGCGGGTTTTCCATGAGTTTCCCATGGGTTTTCCGTGAGTTTTCCATGGATTTCCCATGAGTTTTCCATGGTTTTTCCATGAAGTTTTCCCACGGGTTTTCCATGGATTTCCCATGAGTTTTCTGTGAGTTTTCCATGGATTTTCCATGAAGTTTTCCCACGGGTTTTCCATGGATTTCCCATGAGTTTTCCCGTGAGTTTTCTATGGTTTTCCAAGAGTTTTCCATGGATTCCCAATGAGCCTTCCGCAAGTTTTCCATGCGGTTTCCATGCCTGCTCCTGGGGATGGATGTAGGATTAACCCTGACCATAAGGGGGAAGGACCAATCCCCGTCATTCCCAACGGGAATGCTGGGCCCGCAGGAGCCGCTCCATGGGGCTCTATGGGGCTGGAGGGGGAGGATCTCACCCCCAGCGCTCCGCAAAATGGCGGCGGGAGGGAGGCGGACTACAACTTCCATGATGCCCCGGGGATGAGGACTACAACTCCCGTCGTGCCCCGCGCCACGGGGAGGGGGCGTGGCCGCGTTCCCCACCCTATAAATAGGCCCCATCGCGAAGCAAAGGCCTCTCAGCCGCTGCTGCCGCCATCTTGCGGGGTGCCCGTTGCCATCCGCCGCCATCCGCCGCCATCCGCCGGCCCCGCCGCCGCCCGCCCGCCGGGACTGAGGGCGGCGTCTCCGCCCCGCCATGAGGGCCAAGGTGAGCGGCGGGGGGCGGCCGATGGCGGCTCCGCCTGCCCCGGGGGGGGGGCGGGCTCCATCCCCGACCGGGCCCCGGCGGGAGCGGGGTGCAGAGATGGGCTGACAGCGGGGGAGGGGGGGTGCCGGTGCACCGGGAGCGCGTTACCGGTACACTGGGGATGTGGGGGGAAGAGGAGGGGTGTCCGGGCGGGTTTCCTGTCGCGATAGGGGTCACTGTCGCGATAGCGGTCACTAACGAGCGCCTCTCTCTGCTCCCGCAGTGGCGCAAGAAGCGCATGCGCAGGTACGTAGAGACCCCCCCCCCCCCCCCCCCCCCCGTTCCCCTCGTCCCGTGCCGGGGGTCCCCGGTCCCGGCCCTCCGGGGCACGGGGGAGGCCGCGGCCGCCGCTTCCCCCTCCCGGCTCGGTACCGGCGCTGAGGGCTCCCCCCCCCTCCCCAGGCTGAAGCGCAAGCGGAGGAAGATGAGGCAGAGATCCAAGTAACGGCCGCGAGCAGGGCCGGCCGGGGCCCCGGTGCGTTCGGGCCGCGCGGCTGCCGTTGTGCTGTGAATAAAGCTGGTGGTGACAGCGAGCGTGTGGTTCCTGCGGCGGGGAGCGGGGAGGGGGTGTTGGGACGTCCGGTAACGGGAGGGGGGCTTCCCTAATGGCAAAGGCAGCGAGGGGACTTACGGTAATGATGGAGGTAATGGGGGACCGACGTCCGGTAACGGGAGGGGGCTCCGGTAATGGGAAAGGCAGCGATGGGACTTACCACTATGGGTAATGGGGGCACGTCCGGTAACCGGGGAGGAGCTCCGGTAACGGGAGTGTTGAGACTTAACGATAACGGGGTAGCTCCGGTAACGGAGGCGGGGGTACGGTAACGGGGCGGGAGTGCTGGGACGTGCCTTAACCGGGGGCCGGGGTATCAGGTAACAGTGAAGGGAGTACGGTAACGGGACAGGGCTCCGGTAACGGCGGCAGGAGTGTTGGGACGTTCCTCAACGGGGGCGTTCCGGTAACAGGGAAGGAGGGAAGGGACTTAGGTAACGGCGGAGGTAATGGGGGGACGTCCGGTAACGGGGGGGGGGGCGTAGAGGAGGGCCGTAAGGGGGGGGGGGGGGGGGGGGGGGGGGGGGGGCAGTGAACGGGACTCACGGCACCGCTGGAGTCAGTGTGGGAACGTCCGGTAACGAGCGGGGACCGCCCGCGCTTACCGGCAGCGTCGCACGGCTCATGACGTCACTGCGCTCCGCCAATCCCCGCGCGTGTCGTCCTTCCGCACCGCCCCGGAAGCACCATAGAGCGCTTCCTGCCCGGCAGAGCGGCCGCAACCGGGCCGCTCATTGTTGGCGCTGGCGAGCCGCGGGCGGGTGAGGCCGGGACCGGGACGGGACGGGACGGGACGGGAGGGGGGGGGAGGCACAAAACCGGGAGGGGAGGGAGCGGGAGGGCGGGGGGTTGCGGTCGCTATGGAGGACGCGGCGGCGGGGGTACGGTGTCCGGGAGGGGACCCTCACCGCGCTCCCGTCCCTCCCGCAGCCCCGCGATGCCGGACCGGGACGGGTTCCCCTCGGCGGCAGCGGGGACGAAGCCGTCGGCGGTGTCGGAGGCGGGGGCCTCGGCGGCGGCGGCGGCGGCGGCGGCGGCGGGGGGAGCCCGGACGATGACATCTGCCGGGACTTCCTGCGCAACCGTCTGCAAGCGCGGCAAGCGGTGCCGGTTCCGGCACCCGGACATGAGCGAGGTCACGAACCTGGGCGTGCGCAAGAACGAGTTCATTTTCTGCCACGACTTCCAGAACAAGGAGTGCGTGCGGCTCAGCTGCCGCTTCATCCACGGCTCCAAGGAGGACGAGGACTCCTACAAGAAGACGGGCGAGCTCCCGCCGCGCCTGCGCCACAAAGTGGCCGCGGGGCTGGGCCTCTCCCCCGCCGGACCTCCCCAACAGCAAGGAGGAGGTGCCCATCTGCAGGGACTTCCTCAAGGGCGACTGCCAGCGCGGGGCCAAGTGCAAGTTCCAGCACCTGCAGCGCGACTTCGAGCCGGGCGCCCGCCGCTACGAGGCCTTCGAGGGGCTCTACGAGGCCGAGCACGAGCCTTGCTCAAGCGGCGCCGCGGCGACGGGCTCCACTTCGAAGCCTTCGACTTCGGCGGCGCCGGCGGCCCCACGGTGGAGCAGCGGCTGCTGGAGGAGGAGAACGCGCTGCTCCGCAAGCGGGTGGAGGAGCTCAAGAAGCAGGTGAGCAACCTGCTGGCCACCAACGAGGTGCTGCTGGAGCAGAACGCGCAGTTCCGCAACCAGGCCAAGGTGATGACGCTGAGCTCCAGCGCCGCCGCCGCCGCCACCGAGCAGACTCTGGCCCCCGCCGTGGGCACCGTGCCCAGCTTCAACCCGGGCATGGCGCAGACGCACACCACGCTCAGCAGCCAGGCCCTGCAGCCCCGCGCCGTGGCCCAACAGGAGCTGGTGGCTCCGGCTGGGGCGCAGGCGGCTCCGCCGGCCACGGCCGCGCCGCCCCCGCTCAACCCCGACATCGCGCCGCTCTCGGCCGCCCTGGCTCAAACCATCGCCCAGGGCATGGCCCCCCCCGTCTCCATGGCGCCCGTGGCCGTCTCGGTGGCGCCGGTGGCCGTGTCCATGGCGCAGCCCTTGGGGGGCATCACCATGAGCCACGCCACCACCCCCATGGTCACCTACCCCATCGCCTCGCAGAGCATGCGCATCACGGCCATGCCCCATTGACGCCCCCCCCCCGGGGGTGCTTTGGAACAGTCCGGGCCGGCACCGGGGGAAGGTGCAGGAGGCTCCTGGGACAGCACCGGGGCGGGGGGGGGGGGGGGGGAGCTTGGGGCTGTGTTTTAACCCCCCCCCCCCCACCAGGAGCCTTGTGTATGGACACTGCCGCCGGTGCCGGGGCCTGGTCCCGGTGCGGGGGGGGCCCCGAGGCCTGTAACGTTCGCAGCCATTAAATGAACCGAGAGTGACCGGAGAGCGGTCGGTACCGGGGCGTTCGGAGGGAGGGGGGAACCGGGCGGTGCTGCACGTGACCGGCCCGAGGGCACGCCCCCCCCGTAAGCTCCGCCCCACAGTGGGCTGGGCAGCCAATGGGCGCTGTCCACTGCGGAGCACTGGGCGTGGTTCAACCAATGGGCTCAGGGCGGGCGCGGTCCGTTGAGGGCCGCGGGGCCAATAGGCTTGGGACGTGGCGCAGCCAATGGGCGCCATCCGGTGTGCGGCAAGGAGCCAATGGGAGCAAGCTGTGGTGCACCCAATGAGCGCAAAGCGTTGTTGTCCTGTGCTGGGAGCTAAGCCAATCGTCACCGGGGGTGGGGGCCGCAGCCAATGGGCGTCATCCGGCACGGAGCATGTGCCCAATAGCCGCGGGACGCGCCGCAGCCAATGGGCGCCATCCGGTGCATAGCAAGGAGCCAATGGGAGCAGGCTGTGGTGCAGCCAATGAGCGCAGGCGGCGCTGTCCTGTGCCGGGAGCGGAGCCAATCGTCACCGGGCGTGGCGCAGCCAATGGGTGCCATCTGGTGCGGGGCGAAGGAGCCAATGGGAGCAGGCTGTGGTGGAGCCAATGGGGGCCATCCAGTGCGTGCCAAGGAGCCAATGGGAGCAGGCTGTGGTTCGGGCCAATGGGCGCCATCCGGTGCGGGGCGATGGAGCCAATGGGAGCAAGTTGTGGTGGAGCCAATGGGCGCCATCCGGTGCGGGGCGAAGGAGCCAATGGGAGCAGGCTGTGGTGGAGCCAATGGGCGCCATCCGTTGCGGGGCGATGGAGCCAATGGGAGCAAGTTGTGGTGGAGCCACTGGGCGCCATCCGGTGCGGGGGGAAGGAGCCAATGGGAGCAGGCTGCGGTGGAGCCAATGAACGCAAGGCGGCCCCGTCCTATGCCGGGAGCGGAGCCAATCGTCACCGGGCGTGGTGCAGCCAATGGGCGCCATCCAGTGCGGGGCGAAGGAGCCAATGGGAGCAGGCTGTGATGCAGCCAATGGGAGCAGGCTGTGGTGGAGCCAATGGGCGCCATCCGTTGCGGGGCGATGGAGCCAATGGGAGCAAGTTGTGGTTGAGCTAGTGGGAGCAGGCTGTGGTTCAGCCAATGGGCGCCATCCGGTGCGGGCAAAGGAGCCAATGGGAGCAGGCTGCGGTGGAGCCAATGAACGCAAGGCGGCCCCGTCCTATGCCGGGAGCGGAGCCAATCGTCACCGGGCGTGGCGCAGCCAATGGGCGCCATCCGGTGCGGGGCGAAGGAGCCAATGGGAGCAGGCTGTGATGCAGCCAATAAACGCAAGGCGGCGCCGTCCAGTGCCGGGACCGGAGCCAATCCCCACCGGGCGTGGCGCGAGCCAATGGGCGCCGTCCGTTTCGGCGCGCGTGCCCAATAGCCGCGGGGCGCGCCGCAGCCAATGGGCGCCGTCCGCCTCGGGGCACGGGGCCAATCGGCGCTGCCGCGGGGCGCGCCGCAGCCAATGGGCGGAGCGGGGGCGCCGCGATGGAGGCGCGGGGCGCGGGGCGGGCGGCGCTGGGCGCGCTGGGCCGGCGGCTGCTGTGGGCGCTGCCCGCGTACGCCGCGGGGCTGCTGGGGGTCGGCGCGGCCGCGCTGCTGCTCGCGCTCGCGCTCTACGCGGGCTGGAGGCGGCGGCGGCGCGCCCGGGAGCGCGGGATGCGCGCGGCCGCGCGCCTGCACCGGGACGAGGAGGCCGCGGTCCGCGCCGCCGCCAAGGGGCTCGGGATCAGCAACGGGGAGCTCCCGGCCTGGGTGAGCGCCGGGGCCGCGCACGGGGGGGGGGAGCGGTGGTGTCAGGGGCGCGGCCCCCCCCCCCCCCCCCGTCCTTCCCGGTACCGGAAGCAGCGGCCCCGGGGTGACCCCGCTGCCCGTGCCCCCAGGTCAGCTTCCCGGACGTGGAGAGGGCGGAATGGCTGAACAAGGTGAGGCCGCGGCCTGCGCATCGCTTCCTGCTTCCGTTCCTGCACCCATCCCTGCACCCATCCCTGCACCCATCCCTGCACCCATCCCTGCACCCATCCCTGCACCATCCCTGTATCCATCCCTGTATCCATCCCTGCACCCATCCCTGTATCCATCCCTGTATCCATCCCTGTATCCATCCCTGAATCCCTGCATCCATCCCTGCATCCATCCTGCACCCATCCCTGTACCCAACCCTGCATCCATCCCTGCATCCATCCCTGTATCCATCCCTGAATCCCTGCATCCATCCGGTATCCATCCCTGTATCCATCCCTGTACCCATCCCTGAATCCCTGCATCCATTCCTGCATCCATCCCTGTATCCATCCCTGTATCCATCCTGCATCCATCCTGTATCCATCCCTGTATCCATCCCTGCATCCATCCCTGTACCCATCCCTGAATCCCTGCATCCATCCCTGCATCCATCCCTGTATCCATCCTGTATCCATCCCTGCATCCATCCTGAATCCCTGCATCCATCCCTGCATCCATCCCTGCACCCATCCTGTATCCATCCCTGTATCCATCCCTGAATCCATCCTGAATCCCTGCATCCATCCCTGCATCCATCCCTGTATCCATCCCTGAATCCCTGCATCCATCCCTGCATCCATCCCTGAATCCCTGCATCCATCCCTGTATCCATCCCTGTATCCATCCTTGCATTCATCCCTGCATCCATCCCTGCATCCATCCCTGTATCCCTGTATCCATCCCTGTATCCCTACGTCCATCCCGGTATCCATCCCTGTATCCATCCCTGTATCTCTCCCTGTATCCCTGCATCCATCCCTGTATCCATCCCTGTATCCATCCCTGCATCCATCCCTGCATCCATCCCTGTATCCATATCCCTGCATCCCTGTATCCTGTATCCATCCCTGTATCCTGTATCCATCCCTGTACCCATATCCCTGTATCCCTGTACCTGTATCCCTGTACCCGTATCCCTGTATCCCTGTACCCGTATCCCTGTATCCCTGTACCTGTATCCCTTTATCCCTGTATCCCTTTATCCCTGTATCCCCCCGTGCTCCGCAGGTGCTGGCGCAGGCCTGGCCGTTCTTCGGGCAGTTCATGGAGAAGCTGCTGCTGGCGCAGGTGGCTCCGGCCATCAGGGCCTCCAGCCCCCACCTGCAGAGCTTCACCTTCACCAGGGTGGACATGGGCGAGAAGGTGGGGAACCCCCGGACCCCCCCGAGTACCCCATGGATCCCCCCCATGGACCCCCCGTATGGATACCCCATGGACACCCCATGGACCCTGCCCGGACCCCCCCCAATGGGCACCCCATGGACCCCCCATCCCCTTCTCACCCCCTGCCCCACAGCCCTCCGTGTCCTGGGGTCTGCGCTCATCCCGGTGCCCATAGGAAGCAAATCCTCTTGGATCTCAACATCAGGTGAGCGTCCCCCCGCTATGGGGGGTGGAAGGGGGGGTCCGGATACCCCATGGTCCGTCCCCCCATGGCCCCCCCCCACCTCCCTCCCTCCCAGCTACGTGGGGGACATCTGCATCGACGTGGAGGTGAAGAAGTTCTTCTGCAAGGCGGGGGTCAAGGGGATGCAGGTGAGGGGGGGGGACACAGGATGGGGTCACAGCCATGGTGGGGGGGAGCCCCTCTTACCCCCCGCCCCCCCCCCAGCTCCATGGGACGCTGCGGATCATCCTGGAGCCGCTCCTTGGGGATGTGCCCATCGTGGGGGCTCTTTCCATGTTCTTCATCCGGCGCCCGGTGAGTGCCCCCCCCCTTAAAACAGGCTCCAAATGGGGTCTGCACCCCCCCCCCCCTTTAACCCGTGTGTGTCCCCCCCCCAGACCTTGGACATCAACTGGACGGGGATGACGAACCTGCTCGACATCCCTGGCCTCAGGTGAGCCCCCCCCCTTGCACTGGGATGGTTTGGTCCATCTGTGCCCCCCCCCCAGCTGTGACCATGCCCCCCCCTCCCAGCTCGCTGTCGGACTCGGTGCTCATGGACACCATCGCCTCCTACCTGGTGCTGCCCAACCGGCTCCTGGTGCCGCTGGTGCCCGACCTGCCTGGAGGCGGCCGAGCTGCGGAACCCGCTGCCGAGGGTGAGGGCCCGACCCAGCCCCGGATCCCTGCACCCATCCCTGCACCCACCCTGCATCCATCCCTGCACCCACCCCTGCACCCATCCTGTACCCATCCCTGCACCCACCCCTGCACCCATCCCTGCACCCACCCCTGCACCCATCCCTGCACCCACCCCTGCATCCATCCCTGCATCCATCCCTGCACCCGTCCCTGCATCCATCCCTGCACCCACCCCTGCACCCATCCCTGTACCCATCCCCTGCACCCACCCCTGCACCCATCCCTGCACCCACCCTGCACCCATCCTGCACCCATCCCTGCATCCATCCCTGTACCCATCCCTGCACCATCCCTGTACCCATCCCTGCACCCCCCCCTGCACCCATCCCTGTACCCATCCCTGCATCCATCCCTGCATCCATCCCTGCACCCATCCCTGTACCCATCCCTGCACCCACCCCTGCACCCATCCCTGCACCCATCCCTGCATCCATCCCTGCATCCATCCCTGCACCCATCCCTGTACCCAACCCTGCATCCATCCCTGTACCCGTCCCTGCATCCATCCCTGCATCCATCCCTGCATCCATCCCTGCACCCATCCCTGTACCCATCCCTCCCGTTTCCCTCCCTCCCTCCCCGTTTCCCTCCATCCCATTCCCGTTTCCCTCCATCCCATTCCCGTTTCCCTCCCTCCCTCCCCGTTTCCCTCCATCCCTCCCCGTTCCCCTCCATCCCTCCCCGGTTTCCCTCCATCCCTCCCCGTTTCCCTCCATCCCATTCCCGTTTCCCTCCATCCCATTCCCGTTTCCCTCCATCCCATTCCCGTTTCCCTCCATCCCTCCCCGTTTCCCTCCATCCCTCCCGGTTTCCCTCCCATCCCTCCCCGTTTCCCTCCATCCCATTCCCGTTTCCCTCCATCCTCCCGTTTCCCTCCATCCCATTCCCGTTTCCCTCCATCCCATTCCCGTTTCCCTCCATCCCTCCCCGCCCGCCCCTCCCGGTCGCGGTCCCGGTGCTCCGGTGCCGTTGACGCCGCTGCCCGCAGGGGGCGCTGCGCGTTCACCTCCGGTGCGCGCGGGGGCTGCGCTCCAAGGACCGGTTCCTGGGGGGGCTCCTGGAGGCGCGCTCGGACCCCTACGCGGAGCTGCGCGTGGGCACGCAGGGGGCGCGCAGCCGCGTGGTGCGGAGCAGCCTGGACCCGGACTGGGACGAGCTCCACGAGGTCAGAGCCCACATGGACCCACAGACCCATGGCCCCATAGACCCATAGACCCACAGACCCATAGACACCATAGCCCCATAGCCCACATGGACCCACAGACCCACGGCCCCATAGCCCCCATAGACCCATAGACACCATAGCCCCATAGACCCATAGACACCATAGCCCCATAGCCCACATGGACCCACAGACCCATGGCCCCATAGCCCCCATAGACCCATAGACACCATAGCCCCATAGCCCACATGGACCCACAGACCCACAGACCCCATAGCCCCATAGCCCCATAGCCCACACGGACCCATAGACCCATGGCCCCATAGCCCCCATGGCCCCATAGCCCCCATGGCCCCATAGCCCACACGGACCCATAGTCCCCATGGCCCCATAGACCCACAGACCCATAGCCCCATAGCCCCCCATGGCCCCATAGACCCACAGACCCATGGCCCCATGGCCCCATGGCCCCAGAGCCCACATAACCCCAGAGCCCCAATAGCCCTCATATCCCACATAGCCTCACAGCCCCCATTGCCCCACAGCCCTCATAGCCCCCATAGCCCTCATATCCCTCATAGCCTCACAGCCCCCATTGCCCCATAGGCCCTTATAGCCCCCATATCCCACATAGCCCCCATAGCCCCACCGTCATGGGCATGGTTATGGGTGCCCAGAGACCCCCATTGATGCTGGGGGACCCCCCCTCCTCACCCCACTGATTCCCCCCCCCCCCCCGCCGTGCATGGGGGGTGCCCCCCAGTTCGTGGTGCACGAGGTGCCGGGGCAGGAGCTGGAGGTGGAGCTCTTTGACAAGGACCCGGACCAGGACGACCTCTTGGGCAGGTACCAATGGGGCGGGGGGGGGGTGTGGGGGGTGGGGGGTGTCTGCATTCCCCCCCCAGCCCCACATCTTACACCTCCCTCCCCCCATAACCCCCATAGGCTGAAGCTGGACCTGGAGGGATGTGATGAAGCGCCGGGTGGTGGAGGATGTGGGTCCGGGATGGGGGGCGCTGGGGTGGGGTGGGGGGGGCGCTGTGGGGCAGCCCCATTGCTGACCCCCCCCCCTCCCCCCGCCCCACAGTGGTTCCCGCTGCAGGAGGGGGGGCAGGGCCGGCTCCACCTGCGCCTGGAGTGGCTCCGCCCCCTGGCGGATGCGTCCAAATTGGAGGAGGTGGGGGGCAGGGGCAATAATGGGGGTCAGTGGGGGGAGGGGCAATAATGGGGGTCAGTGGGGGGAGGGGCAATAATGGGGGTCAATGGGGGAGGGGCAATAATGGGGTCAATGGGGGGAGGGGCAATAATGGGGGTCAATGGGGGAGGGGCAATAATGGGGTCAATGGGGGAGGGGCAATAATGGGGTCAATGGGGGGAGGGGCAATAATGGGGGTCAATGGGGGAGGGGCAATAATGGGGTCAATGGGGGAGGGGCAATAATGGGGTCAATGGGGGGAGGGGCAATAATGGGGTCAATGGGGGGAGGGGCAATAATGGGGTCAATGGGGGGAGGGGCAATAATGGGGTCAATGGGGGGAGGGGCAATAATGGGGTCAATGGGGGGAGGGGCAATAATGGGGTCAATGGGGGGGTCCCACATCTCTGACAGGTTCTGGAGAGGAACCGAACGATCCAGGGCAAACCCGACCCCCCCTCGGCCGCCATCCTCATGGTGTACCTGGAGCGGGCAGAGGAGCTGCCGGTGGGGGGGGGGAAGGGATGGGGGGGGGGAAGTGAGGGGGGCAGGGATTGGGGGGGCAGGGATTTGGGGGGAAGGGGGGCAGGGATGTGGGGGTGGGGCAGTGTTGGGGGGGGCAGGGATGTGGGGGTGGGGGGTCAGGGATGTGGGGGTTGGGGGCAGGGATGTGGGGGTTGGGGGCAGGGATGTGGGGGTGAGGGGCAGGGATGTGGGGGTGGGGCAGGGATGTGGGGGTGAGGGGCAGGGATGTGGGGGTGGGGAGCAGGGATGTGGGGGTGAGGGGCAGGGATGTGGGGGTGGGGCAGGGATGTGGGGGTGAGGGGCAGGGATGTGGGGGTGGGGAGCAGGGATGTGGGGGTGAGGGGCAGGGATGTGGGGGTGGGGAGCAGGGATGTGGGGGTGAGGGGCAGGGATGTGGGGGTGAGGGGCAGGGATGTGGGGGTGAGGGGCAGGGATGTGGGGGTGGGGGAGCAGGGATGTGGGGGTGAGGGGCAGGGATGTGGGGGTGGGGCAGGGATGTGGGGGTGAGGGGCAGGGATGTGGGGGTGGGGAGCAGGGATGTGGGGGTGAGGGGCAGGGATGTGGGGGTGAGGGGCAGGGATGTGGGGGTGAGGGGCAGGGATGTGGGGGTGAGGGGCAGGGATGTGGGGGGGGGCAGGGATGTGGGGGTGAGGGGCAGGGATGTGGGGGTTGGGGAGCAGGGATGTGGGGGTGAGGGGCAGGGATGTGGGGGTGGGGCAGGGATGTGGGGGTGGGGGGCAGGGATGTGGGGGTGGGGGGCAGGGATGCCGCCCCCCCTCCCCCA